TCTCTCTCTGAGCTTCAAGCTCCAGCTTTCTAAGCTCTCGTTCTTTATCTAGCTCCAGCTGTTTGAGCTCTCGTTCTTTTTCTCTCTGGGCATCTAGTTCGTTTGTTTGAGCTTTAGTTGGAGCTCCATACTTGGATCAGTCGGTTGTGTGACTGAGGCCAGTTCATCTTCAGATAACATGTCTCATCCACAAAGTGAACGATGATCATGTCTCGTATGGTCTTTTTACAGCCGAATGAGCTACATTTATTCCTAGAGCTTTAGCAATGGAAAATAGCTCCTTCCTAGAACATTTGTCTAATGCCTCAACCGATGGGTTTTCAACATCAAAATCCATTTTTACACAGGCAAAATACAACACTGATTTTATAAAAATTTAAGCTTAGTGCACACACTAATGAAAAAAAAATGTAACCAGCTCTGTTGTTGGTATCGTAAAATGGTATCGTGTACTCAAAATTAATCTGAGTATATACAAGTAAACAGTGGGTCAAAATCGACAGAAAAACACTCAATTTATTACTGGTGTAATAAAAATTATGGATTAAAATTATCCTCGGAAAAGCCCACAATTTGTTAAAATTTTGACTAATGAGAATAAAATATGGATTCGGTTATCCCGGACGATGCCCCCAATTTGTTAAGCACTGACTTGTATTGGGAGAAATTAATCTCCTATTTTAATTGGCTCGTTGTAAGCAGTGCCTAACAAAGGACGATACCATAGAATCAACAATATTAAAGATACGACCCAAAACAGTTTCTAGTCACAATTAATTAAGATTTATTATGTCTTAAGATAATTACAAAAGAAAAGAAAAATATAATTACAATCTTCAACTTACAGTATGGTAGATCAGTTAATACAATTAGAAATAATGATGCCAATAAATAATACGAAATAAACACATATGAGCACACAAATACACAAATAATAAAACACGCCTCGTAATGTTAAGAAAATCTATCTGAAAATCTCCGTCTCTCCGTCCGTACCTGTCAATCCCTTATTTAGGTGGGTCTACCGACGCCCAAGCCATGCCTTCGAGCAGCTACATGACATTTCTAGAGCAATCAAAATCATTCTACAAAATACTATTTGGAACAGATTAATTATTTTCAGTGGTTGGCGGCGTAAACAAGAATACATCAAAAGCCTAAGCCACACCCCTTTGTGAACACAGCGTATCATGCGGGGTCAGTCAGAGGGCACGCACGAGAAATATTATGTAAACAAGCTCTCTATAACAAGCATAGAGAATCAGCTGTCAATGAACTCCTTTAGTGACGTTAAAGATTTAATAAGGGAACATTTAGATTAAAATTTTGTAATTTAAGGTCGTGTTTTTCCAAGTAACAACAGTTTGTATACCTCTCAAGCACTTTGCCTCGTTGCCACATTCACTTCTTTAGCCACATTGGACGCCCTTATTGCCTATTTGTTCTTTAGTACAGGCGTAGGTCTTTGTTCAAATGACAAGGTATAAGGTACGATAAGGTGAGATACGATAAGATTATTTTATTGTTCCAAATAATCCAATAAAAAAGAGTTTACATAGCATGTTCATTAACAGATTTGTTTTTTAGATGGGTCGTTTGTAATTTTTTGGGTTTATGTTGTTTGTTGAGTTTTGTTTTGTTTGTTTGTTTTGCGAGAATTATTTGTCTGTGAGTCCAAATGTAGTTTTGACTTGTCGGCTTCTACTGGGAGTTAAGAGCCAACAGACGATCCTTAATAAGATGAATAGCTGCATTTTTTTTCATTTGACTTTTTTCTTTGCTGCTTTTCTGAGGTCTATGACGTTTAACAGCCACCATTTCGTTACCACAATTTCGCCGCCACCATTTCGCTACATCCTATTAACACATTGCACGTTTCACCGATGATGGCAATTTAAATGGTTAACGGAAATTTGATCGAAAGAAATTTCGTCGACGATAAATTGATCGCCGGGAATTTGATCGAAAGAAATTTCGTCGACGGTAAATTGATAGGCGGAAATTTGATCGAACGGAAATTTGATTGAATCTTTTTTTTTCAGTTCACACGTTATTTTTTCGTCAAACTTATTTTTGAACGCACTATACTTAATATTATGGCATCCTTCTGTCTTCGTGAGACGATGGAGCAGCTATATAGTTCTACATTTTGACGAGTGGCTCACTAGGCAAATCCTAGAATGGCGATCACGGGCGCATCTCTCGCAGGAGAATGTTGAATGCCGGTAAGATCTTGATTTCCGAATTGTTCTTTTTGATTCAAGGGCCTCGTTTCGAGTATCTTCTGCCTTTTCACTCCTCCAATGAACTCCCATTCGTTTGTTTCAATATTGGCTTCCCTCATGCTTCGTTTACAAACGTCAATAAATCTCAGGTGCGGTCATCCAATGTGTCTTGTCCCCTCTGCCAACTCTCCATTCAGCAGAATCTTTGGGATACCTCCATTCTCCGTACATGACCTAACCAGCGAAGCCGTCTCTTGATAAGAAAGGAGAATATGCTAAACATGTGTGCAAGTTCCAAGACCTCCACGTTAGGTACCCTGTCCTGCCAATGAATGCGCAAAATGCGACGCAGACATCTTTGGTGGAAGCTGTTGAGTTTCCGCTCCTGTCTGGTATATGTGGTCCACACTTCGCTACCATATAGGAGCGTGCTAAGCATGCATGCCTGATAGACACTTATTTTTGTTTTATCAGTTAGATTGAGATTATTCCACACCCGCATATTCAGTTTAGCCATTGCTGCTGCTTTTGCAATCCTGATATTGATCTCTTCATCAACGGAGAGAGAACTAGAAATATTGGATCCCAGGTATATGAAATGATTAACAACCAAAAGATTATGACCCTCAATAGATATGATTGGAGGTGACGGTGCTTCTTGCATCATTACATGAGTTTTCTGTAGACTAATCGAAAGACCAAACTCCTTACAAGCATGTGATAGGCGATTAACCAGCCCCTGCAGATCTTCTTCTGTGTGAGATGTTAAGGCGGCATCGTCAGTGAACAGCAGTTCACGAATCAGCACCTTTTTTTTTTACTTTGGTCTTTGCACGAAGGCGGGCGATATTGAACAGTCTTCCATCAGATCTTGTGTGGACGTACACTCCATCTTCACAGTCACTGAAAGAAAATTGAAAAGAGCGTTGGTGCCAGTACACAACCCTATTTTACTCCGCTGCTAACTGGAAATGACTCAGAGACAGTGCCATTGAAAGTTACTGTGCTGTGCATGTTTTTGTGAAATGGCTGTATTATTGTGAACAGTCGTGGGGGACAACCTATTCTTTGCAGGATACTGAAAAGGCCTCTTCAACTTACCAAGTAAAATGCCTTGGTCAGGTCTATGAAGGCAATATAAAGGGGCATATGCTGTTCGCGACATTTCTCCAGAATTTGACAGCGAAAATATCTTGTCCATTATTGAGCACCCACTCCTGAAGCCACACTGGGACCTGGGTAGATGCGGTTCGCAAGGCTCTGCAATCGTTTAAAGGCAACCCGGGCAAAAGTATTTCCAACTAAGCTAAGGAGAGAAATACCTCGGTAGTTGTTGCAATCGCTTCGGTCCCCTTTATTTTTATACAATGTTACGATGTTGGCGTCTCTCATGTCCTGGGGAATGTGACCTGTTTCCCAACACAGACAGAGGAGCTCATGGAAGGGCTGAAGTAGGATAGGTTTTCCATTTTTGAGGATTTCCGCTGGGATGCCGTCGATCCCTGGAGCCTTCCCATCCGCAAGGTAATCGATGGCTTTTTCAAGCTCCTGTAAAGTTGGCTCTTCATCCAGTTCATTCATTACTGACAAGGCAGGAATATTATGGAGAGCGGTCTCAGTAACTACATTCATTGTAGAGTATAGTTCAAGATAATACTCTGCCCAACGTCGGAGTTGATCATTTGGATTCTTGATAATTTGACCCGTCTTGGACTTGATTGGTGCTATTTTTGCTTAATGCTTATACTATATTTAATAGTAAAAATAAATAATGCGTTCAAAAAGAAATTTGAAGCAAAATTTTAATGTAAAATCTGAGGAAAAAAAATGTGACCAAATTTCCATACGATCAAATTACTGTCGATCAATTTAGAGTCGACAAAATGGCTTTCAATCAAATTTCCGGATACTAATTTAAATACGCGGGTTATGATACAAATGTTGACGTCTTGTGAAAATCTATATTTTTATGTAAACATCAAAAATGTCCAAATAAGCTTCTATGAGATTGCAAGTGTTATTTTCTATTTGATTTGGTTTTTTTAGAACTTAAAAAAAGTTACTTGACAATGTGGGTACATCTAAAGGTAAACATGGCAAAAATGTGACAGTCTGTGTCACCTATGTAACACCACTTGCATGTATTTTCTTTTTTTTTTACACTATCGTGTATACCAGTTGTACTTTCAAAGTCATTCTTGATTTCGAACACTCCCATGGAGACTTTGATCTGATCCATTAGCAAGGAAATGTGTTCAATATCTTTGTTTGCAGCATGCGTCATCAAAGTGTTGCCACTCGCTTTAAAAAGAATACCACAATGTTCCCGTGAATGACAAAAGATGTTTGCAGTTCATAAAAAGTGTGTTCTAGAACTATTCGTTAAATGCTTGTTGTTTAGATCTGGCTAATGAAAGGCATATCAACTGGAAATATAACAATCCAATTTTTTTTAAAATTTAATTCACCATTTATTTGTATTTGATTTGCGGCGCTAAAATGATATTATGTTATCACGGTGTATGTCATACCATGGTATTGGATCCTCTTGTTGCTTTAACGGGAAAACATGTCAAAAGTATCATGAAGGACTTGAGTAGATCTGTTGATAGAAGTCTAAAAATATCATGGTCCTCATGGGTCAGTCCTTACAGAGAAATAGATTTACCGTGGTTTTCTAAAACCTCAATATTAAAAAGACCATTGCTCAATCACCTAACTGTTACTATTCAAAACTTTACTTAAGGTAAAAATATATAATAAACTCAAACATTTGTGTATGTAAATTTTTTTATTTAAAATAAGCACGAACACTAAGCAATGTTGAAATGTTACAGACACAGTAAAAAAAAAAATACCTCCTAACAAGACAACCCTGCTGAAGCTTAGATAAAATAATTACATTAAAGAAAAAACCAATCAATACATTGTTAACCCATTCAAGCTCTTATCCGACTTTATTCGTGCATAAAACCCGTATACGGGAATGAAGTAGAACATTTCAAAGCTGGCCTTAATTATTTTCTTCTCATTTGAGTTCACTTAAGTTAATTCATAAAAATTTACGTAGTGTATGTTTTTAACATCGTGCTATTTTAAATATGATGATTTATTGTGATCTAATTTCTAAGTATGAAGATATAACTGTATACAATTACTGTAAATGTATAATTGAAATTTAATACCATTATTATCAGATTTGAGTAATTTCATTGAGCGAGGAAGTGTTTAGAAGAATTTAACCCTAGGCTAAGAGCCAAAACCAACGAAACATCATACCATAATAACGTAACATTAAATAGTATTTAATATGTTTAACAGGCTATTCAATTTGAGTATTGCAAAATATGTAACTAATATTTGCGAAATGATAAGCAAACAATGACACTGAGCCTCAATAATGTAAAAGATCATTAACTGATCATGTTTTAAACAAATGAGGCTTAAAAACATTTTAAAAATTAATTATGCTTTTCATAAAATTATTATATTATTGTTATTTATTTTTATTTTTTTAATTTGATAATCTTAAACTTTACTATAAATTTAACATTTTCACATTGCTCCAAGATAATTGGCACAGTTGTAGGTAGGGTTAAAAGCAATAAAAGCGAGTGATAGAAACAGAAATAGAGAGAAATAGAGAGAGATTGTGAAAGAGGGAAAGAGGCATGGGCGCCCGCAGAAAACTTTCTGGGGGGGGGGGCAGAAAAAATAGATTAACTTTCCAGGGGGGGGGGGGGAAAAAAAATTTAGATTAACTTTCCAGGGGGGGGGGGGCAAAAAAATTTTAGTAATGTTTTAATTTAGTTTTAATTTACTGTAGCGTATTTGTATCGTGAAGAAACGGACAGGACATCAGCTTAGTTACTTTCTCTTTATTTTCTCTTTACTTTAATAAATTGTTTGTCTATTTTTGCCTAAAAAAATTTTATCCAATCAATCCAGGGGGGGGGGGGCAAGTGCCCCACCTTGCCACTACCTGCGGGCGCTCATTTAAAAAACGGTTTCAAACCCATAATTTATAAAACAATCATTATTATTTGTAAACTTATATCGTAACTAAAAATACGTGAATATTATACTAAAATATTTTAATGGATATATATAATATATATAAGCAAACCACTTCTACAACAGTAAAACGTATATTACTGAGCATATTTCAAAGAGTGACTAAATATATCAAACAAATCTTTTTTTTCCATCCACTCATTCCTGTGAACTAGTGTGAAGATTTACATCATTTAACAAAAGGTCATGAATAAATTTAAGAATTTTATATCACTCATGCTTCAAAATTTAAATTTATATTCAATCACCAACACAAGAATGAGTTCATTAATAATTTTGAATAAAAAATCATAAAAATCAATAATTATAATTTTCTAGGTGTGTGTGTGTTTGTGTGTGTGCATGTATGTATGTATGAATGGCTGTAAAGCTGTGTTCAAAAAGATATGATTAGTAAAATTTCCCGCAGTTAGCACTAATTTTGATTCTTATAAAGTTCATTACCTGAATGCATGGTTTGACAATAACTTTATTTGACAGGAAGTTCTCGTAATGTCATTGTGTTAGTCGAGGCTTATGCTTGTGGTTTGAACTATCCACAAGTTTGTGGTTGACTCATTTTAGACCGCTCGGCTACCTAAGCGCCGACTTTTTTTTTTTTTTAAAAAAAAGCTCAAAGCAGCTTCAAAAGATGAAACAATTCACATTAAACATTGCATACATTATTTTTGTTTTCATGTCAAAAAACTTTTTTTTAAAAATGGTTTGCGCATCTATAACTAGAACACGTGAAAGCGAAAGTCGATTTGTACAGGAAACTCAAAACAGCTGTTTATTAATTTTTTTTTTAATTTAAATTTGCTTTTAGTTTTAAATTCTAAATGTCTTAAATGATGGTTATTTATTTATCTTATTTTCGAAGAGATTAATTTTTAAATCACAGATAAGAGATGGAATTTTTATTGAATATTATAAGCTGATTATTTTTTGTCAATTAATAAACACACAAACAAAATATGATTAATAGTTGATTTTCAAATAGGTTACTTTCCTCCACGTATTGACTGAATTTTATTTAATCTATTTGTGTCCGAGGGCGATTCTCTGCGTAACGTCTGCAACTCCTTGATCCATTTTGATTCCAATGTACGTCTCATATGAGGATCCTCTTGTGGACAACTCTCAATAACCAATCCTCTTAATTTGTCCACCTCGTGAAATTCCGTAAAATGCTCCATCACATAGTTTTGTTTCTGTTTTATCTGTTTTACTAATTCCTCATCTTTTTTTTTTATTTTTCCATCAAGAAATTTAATTGCCATTAAATGCTCACCAAATCTTATCTTAAATGCTCGTTTAGTACATCCAACATACCTTGCCTTACAGCCTGGTTCGGAGCAGTAAAGAAGGTATATTACATTATTTGATAAACAGTAGTATTTACCGTCGATAGGACGTCGATCACCTTTATAATCTTTAAAATCTACTTTATCTTCCATGTGACCTTCCTTACAATAGCAACATACTTTGCATCCATAATACCCCTTTTTCTTTGGTTTCTGCGAAAAAGAAAAAAAAATTATATTTTTCCAAATTATTATGAAAAACTCAATTTGTTTTGATGTAGAAATTCTAGAATTTAATGTTTCAAATAAATTGGAACTAAAACATGAAATTTAAAAATGAAATCCACGTTAAAATTACAAATAAAACAACTTGAGCATTTAAAAGTGATGAGAAAATTGTAAGATACGGAAAATCGTTGTGCAATCATGACGTAATGTTATGGAGATGGCCAACTAAATTTCAGTTTGTAAACTATAGAAGTAAATTTGTAAGGATACTTAATTTTAGGCTAATTTGACTAAAAGAATCTGGTTATCCCAAAAAATGTTGGCCTATTTTGGGGGAATCTTACAGCGTTTTATTGTATTTTTATTTTATTTTTTTTATTTGTGATCGTGTAATCCAGGTGCGTAGCGAGGGGAATGTGGGGATGCGGACCGCACCGGGTGACACCATTTTAAGGGTGACACCCAATTGAAAAATTGCATATTTACAGAGCACACATTGCTCGGTCTAACCGAGATTCACAAAAGGATAACCGATCACACATACACTTATTTCAAAAATGTGACAAATGCGTGCTTTATGAAAAGTTCAAAGTTGGTGTGTCAGAAATGAGACGACCCTCTGTTTTAGTCAGAAAAACAGTCATTATTCCACGCCGATTGAAGTGTTCGGTAACCTCCGTAAGTGACAGGAGGCTATATTTATCTAAATTCTGAGAAATAGAGCTTTCCATTGATACCAAATATGGTGTGGTATGGAGTTAAAAAATAGTATATTTTACACAACTTTCAATATTTTAATGATTAATTCTTATTTATTTAAAATTAAATAAAGAAAAGTTTTTTGAAGACATATAAAGTATTATATATCGAAATCCTGAAATACTAAAAAATTAATGTTTTCCCCCATTCGTCACTATTATCGCCCCATAACATTTGAGCACAATTGTCATATTTCGACTGCTGGGTTTTACCTGCTACCTTTCTGTGTTGTATTTTGGACAGTGAACTGACTGTTGTTTTTGAATTGTCGTCAGTAATTATTTTGTTTGTTGTCTAAAATGACAAAATTAAAGCATTTTTATTGTTCAAGGTTATTATACCATGACACACGGCCTGCACAAATCTAAACAGCCAGCAAAACGAGGGATGTGGAAGCTTGAATTTAAGGATATTTTCCTGTGCGCCGAAGAAGGCTCTGTGCCGAAACGTTCTAATCTTATTGTCCTGTCTTTAAATTCAAGTTTCCACATACCTCGTTTTTGCTATTTCATCTAAATTCACTACCAGAATTCATGCTTCAATATTGAAAAACCAAATGATGACCAGCATCAGGGTTCATCAAAAGACGTTCCTCAGCCTACCATTGATACTGATTCTCCCGATGCAGCATACATTCTTTTCAGCAAATAATGGAGAAGATGGAAGAGATTCGCGTGAAAAAAAGGGGGGAAAAGTATGATTTGGAAACAGAAATGTCTGCTGATTATGTTGATTCAAACAAAGATACTGTAAGCGTAATGGTTAAATAACAAAAACTGGCACATTTTATAAGATACTGCTCTCTGGAATGTACCAGTTTCAGATTATTTTCGGTCTGAAATTATTAAAATATGGAGTACCTTGTTTCACAACAACTACGGACTATTCAGCGTAAAGACAAAACAAAAGGCGAAATCTAAAGGAGATGTGCGCCAACTAACAAGAGATATTTATAATTCCCTTTGGGACAGTCTAGGCTTTCTGATTTGGCTCTGCTATCAATTGAAAGTAATTCAGTGAAGGGCATTGATTTTGATCAAGTCATTGACAGGTTTGCAGCTTTGAAGACAAGGATAGGAAATTTTTAAATAAAGTAAATTTGATGTAAAAATAACTATAACTTAAAAATGTTACAGTTTTTAAATACATTGACCTCATGACCTTCAATTTATGTGTTTTTGTCCTTGTCCTTGTTATACTGTGGACTTACTTTAACTAGAAGCAATCCACCATGGAAGTTGTTCTTTTTGTTTGTTTTTTGGGGGATGACACCATGAATTTACCGCACCGGGTGACACCAACCCTAGCTAAGCCACTGCCGTAATCAATTTTGTTTTCACGTGTTTAAACACCTGCCATACGCCTTAGTCTTAGTGCATTAAATGTTCTTTGTCAACGTTGATACTTTGTTATGCAGGAGGAAAAAAAACACCTGGTTCACTCCTCGTAGCTCACGGCTAGTGTTTCTTTCAGACAATTTCCTCCCCCCCCCTAGGGGGGAGGGGAGTGGCCGGAGGGGGCACTAGAGGTATGGGATATGGCATTGGCAATTGGCGTAACTATGGGATCAGAGGAGGACATTTGCAAACAGTGTAAGTTTCATCAATTATTATTAAATCGAAAGCGTTTGTGTTTTCTTTTACTGTGCCACTTTTGTAACAAAATGTTCTGATTAACAAAGTTGGGTTTATTTAAGTATTATATTTATTTAATTCCCAACCGCTTTTGTCTTTTTTTAATATCAGAATAATAAACACTCTTTTTCATTATTTTTTTTCTATATGAAAATCTGGTAAAAGTTTTATTTTTGGTACTAGCTTTAGAACAACGTAGTATTTCTAAATCACCAATTTAAGTTAATTCTGATGATTTGGTAAAAATATGTTTTAAATTTTATCAAACAAGCAATTTCTAATTCCCATGAAGAAAGTTAAAGTAATTTGAATTTTTTTTTTTTAAATTGGAATTTCAACTGAGCATTGATATATTTACATTGTATTTTTATAGAATTTCCCTCAGATAAAAATAAACAAATATTAAATTTATGTCTTTTGTAAACATCCCCTCTTGACATAATTATGCTGTTCATGTACGATTTATAAAACGGCCAGTTTTGATAACACATACAAATATATAGACCTTTGCATTTAACATTTTTTTTTTTTACTCTGGTAAAACTTTGATATATTTAGACAAGCTGATTATTGAAAGTAAGTTGTTTATTTTCCATTTGCGTTCAGCGTGTAAAATAGTATTTTTTTCTTTTTAGCAATAGAAATCTTTTTAATTGTGTTGTTTTTTTAAATTCACTTATTAATTATTAATTAATTATTTTATTAATTGTTTATGTGGGTTTTTTTATTTGCTTTCGACATGTAACTTGGTGTTAAATGCGCTTCTTGTGATGGAAACATTTTTATTTATTTAAGTAGTTAATCCAACAATAGTTTGAATAAAAAATAAAGCCACATTACTATTTCATTACATTTCAGTAAAGAAAAATATTTTCATAACGCAAGCAGGTCAAGCAGAGTCGTCACTCGACTTTTTTCGGCCTCCTGCCTCTTTTCGGTTTAGTCCTCAGCCACCTTGCATTGAAAGTTGATAATTAAGAAGGTTTCCACATAACGTTATTAACCCTTTAAAATATCTGAGGCCTCTTTCAGTTGTAGGGGTTGCTGGGTAACACGATGGTACTAAGTTAAGTGACACATACATTTTTAACCAGCATCTCTTCGGTCGCTCTCCAATTAAGTGTAGAATGTTGTTAAAAAAAATATCAACTGTGTGCTAAAATGCCTTCTTTTATTTTTATCAAAAATTTTCTGAGGAATATAAAGATTAAGGGGCGAGACTACGCTAGGGAAAAAGCATACTATCAAGTGCAACACAACTGAAATTAATTTAGTTCCTGTTCCGCTGTGTGAAGTAAGAGATTTCTTTGATAATTATTATAGCTAATTTCGCTCTTCCCACACGAACGTTTGTATGCCACCTAAAAATTGTCTGACAGAAACAACGGCTTACAGATTTTGCCAAAATGCTCCCCTGCTATTAGGATTTTCCCGACTGTCTTCTGAACCCTTGATATCCAAACCCCCCTTGCCTCTCGCTGATCAATGTTACAATATGGAATTGAATCTAAGCTTCCACCATATTATTACGGTGGGGCACTCCATAACCGGGGTGAATTCAGTTTGTGTATTGTATTGGGCGCCATAATGAATTCCCCACACCCTTAAAACTGCCTTTCTCCGATCAAAAATTCAGATGGAAATAATACATTTAAATATGCTCCAAAAGACACCTCTTCGTTTTGAAATAATCACAAAGCTTCTTCTGAGTGAGCTACAATTTTGGTGCAAATACATACACTGCCTCGTGGCGATGCTAGTATTAGAGCCGCCATTGGCGCTCTCTCTTTCACGATACAAACTCTGCAGTTGTCTGAAAATGATGCATCTCCATAAAAAGACAAACTGACTCCTGGTAGTAGCCCCAATCGCCCCCTTTCTATGCCACAAGCAGGGGCGTAGTGTGAGTGTCTGACGCCCCCCTACTGAACAACATTATTTTCAATCATTAAATACCATCACAGCTCATTTTGCGCCCCCGGGGGACGTCTGTCCCTTCTGCCACTCCTTAGCTTCGCTCCTGATCACTGGCAATACCCGCCGATAATCTGAATTACACCCCCACCCTTCAACCCCCTGTAGGAAAATGTCTGGAATGAACACTGATTATCATTGAGATGAAGTGTTATTAAAATATAAGGAAATAAATCTGATGAAATTGGTGAAAAAATATATTAGCAAACTCGACAGATATAAACCATCAGACAGACATAAAATAATCATTGGCAAAATATAATACCTCAGGTTCCCGGGATAATCCCCCACCAACGGGGTCAAACTCCTCTAGCTCAACAAACTCCTCTGACTCATTTATCTTAAATTCCCTGATTATTTCTTCTAGATCATCATCATCGTTGGGTTCCCATGCTTCCGCCATTCTTGTCTCCATAATTTCTGTAAAATTAACAAAATCATTATATTTTTTCAATAATGAAAAAACTATAAATATGATTTTCAAAACGTAAAATGCAAAGTAAGATCAGTGTTACAGTAATAGAATAAGTGATGTTAAGAAATTGTTCAATGTTTGAGATTTGTGTAGGGTTTTGTGTGATGAAACGCAATGAGTTTTGATAAATCAAAACGATTCATTAACTCATTTCAGTCTTCAAAACGTATGAAACAAGATTTGCTAGTCTTAGAGAATATTTGGATTTGATATTTTAGAAAAGAATTGTCATCAACAATAACAGACTCTATATATACTCTAAAAACAAAGATGATGAAACGTTACACATGATTAATAGATGATAACACATTGAAATAACATTTTCTGATCAAATCGACGATGATCGCAGCGTTAGGTAGACGGAAAGAAAGAATGGGAAAGTTTGTTTGTTTGTGCCTGGATTTGTTCCACATACGTTTTTACATGGATGGATGGATCTGGACCATATTTGGCACATATATCCATCATTATCCAGAAGGAACTCTTACGGGGTTATGAAAATTTTATAACATTCCGTTTGGGGCTGGGGGCCCCGAATTAATTTTCTCCTTCTTTGAGCTACATAAATAAAATGACCAACAAATACTCCTATATGAATGGATAGATCTTGACCAAACTTAGCACACATATACTTGATTATCCATACTAAAAAAACCGAAGGGTACTGAACTCATATTATCCTTACCTCTGGGGCTGAGGGCCCCATTTCATTTTTTCTTATATAAGCTATATAAATATCAGTAGGCTTAATAATCCTACATGAATAGATTGATCTTGACCAAACTTAGTACACAGTACATATACATCCATATTCAAATACCGAATGTTACTAAACTCATAATATCCATCCCTCTGGAGCCGGGGGCCACATTTCATTTTTCCTTATATAAGCCATATAAATATTAATAGGCTTAGACAACACTATAGTTTCTATGTGAATTGATGGATATAGGCCTAGCGTTGTAGCAATACCCTTCATTGTCCGTATTGAAATGTCGGTGGATTTAAAACTAAGAATATTCAATCTAGAATTCTCTAGAAAGTTTGATCATTTTAAAACGCTAAATCTATTACATTTTAAAGTAGATCTTAAGGGGGAAAAAATTAAATTTTAACTTTATTATTTATCTGACTGATTTTTATATGGCCCCTTATCTCAGGCATAACTAAATTGATACAGTTCTGAAATGCCCCCCCCCCCCCGGGGGCCACCGATTAACTTAAAAGAAAAAGGATTATAATTATGGCATCTGTTGAAGATTTTTATCGTATTTGAAATATAATGAGATAAGTAGTTTTACCACATGTTTCGAGCAGGTTATTAAATTTAATCTAAAATGTTCCAGAAAGTTCTAAATTGTTCCAAGAGGATATATAGTGAGATCTAAGGGATTATTGAAATGTTTGTTAGTTCTATTCATTTCTCTACTATCGCGGAGTTTACTTTTTTTTTCTCAGTACCACTGAGTAGTTTTTTATACGGCATCCCAAATGGGTCGGGATCCAATCATGAACGTTATTCCAACGGGATCAGGATCCTACAGGGATCGGGATCCCAACCTAGAATATATCTTTCGGGATCAAACCGGGAAACGGAACTGCGCCGAGATCGGTGTCAGAGTGGGATCCGGGTCCCAAAGGGATCGGGGTCACACCAGGATGGGGTCCTATATACTGGCTTGTATTTTCCATTGGCTTGTATGTAGATTTTGTATTGTTGCGTTTTGTATTTTAATGTTGAATAGTATAAATTTTCATGTATGGTTGACTTCTACTGCTATTCGAGCCTAAATTAGGGATGAAGCGTGTTTTTTCAAATGAATTGTGTCATTACTCTGATTATTATAATTATTTTGTATTTATAATTTTATATATTAACTTCGCTTTTGTTCGTGGGTGGCTGGCTGGCTGGCTGAATGGCAGGCAAAATCTTCGGACGGCTAATTGACTCACTTTACGTCAAGCAATCAAGCTGAAACTAGACAATTAGGCACGGTGCCGATAACAAAATATTCTTTAAAATTTTCGACCCCAACCAAAAAAAAATTAGTTTTCCTGTTTTTCAAAGGGATCATAAAGGAAAATCTTCGATAACTGCGCTAAATAAGATTCTTTTTTTTTTTTTTTAAATATCTCAGGTGCGATTTGGGCGCAGCATTAAAATTTTATTTTGTTTTTTCTGAAATAGTTGGTAATATAGATATCCTGTGTAAAGATGGGTGGGTCATTAGAATATTAATATAGTTCAGGGGCGTGAAAAAATATGCGATTGCGAGCTTTGGAAGGGGATAGCATTAATTGAAATTCTTATAAAGTGGGTTACTTGTATGAAGATTTTGTCACATTTTCAGCCCCACCTCCATTGCTCGAGATGACATTATCTAAAGGATTGATACGAAAAACTAGGTTTTCAAGGGTTGTTTAATTCAGGACTTAACCCACGCTGTAAATGAGATCTGGGTTCTTTTTAAAACTTATGTCTCATGTTCAGCAATGAACTTACGTTAACATTATAGCATGTCTTCCCACTTCCTCGGTTCGTTTTTTTTTTTAATCGGTACTTGTTTAACTCGGATTGAATTTCCCTCTAAATATATGATTTTATAAATGAGAAATACAGGCAATTAAGAGTAAATGGCGCCTGTCACACTAATCTAAATGAACTGTGTGTAGAATACAACAGAGCCTTATCCTTCGCACGTATTACGTATATCTCGATTGTAACTAAGGAAGCCGTCACTGGCATCATTAGGTGTTGGTGTTAGTGAGGTGATTTCGGACTAGATACCTGATATAGGAATTGGAACTTTTAGCTTCAGTGAGTCCTTTCAATGAAGAATTAAACGATTTTCAAGCTGAGGTTGGCTTTAGTGGTGATTTTTTGCTGTCTGAAGTTTCCATTAAATTATGTTCTGCGTTTATTAAGTTTAATATTTACTATAAATATTCGTTAATTTATTGATTTTTCTGAATATCTGTTGATAAAGAATTCTTCCTTAAAAATATGATACATTCTAATTGCTTAGACAACTTTTTTTTCCATCTCTGCATTTTATGAAACAACTTACTTAAATTTTTTAATGCTTTCAAATTTGAAGGAATAAAAGGAAGGGGGTGGATTGTTAGTGTTCGATGGGATTGGTGGGAATATAGTGTGTAAGTTCGGATCTATGTCGTTTCCCCGCCGGAATTTCGTTGAAGATGATAAAACGTGTATTTAAATGCAACTGTGATAAATGAAGTACATATCTGATTTTTTTTTAAAAATTCAATAATATCTATTTAAAATATAGATCTAAATGTCAAAGTTTGGTTGTGCTACACAGCTCCTACGTAAATTTATGGTATTGGGACACATTTTATTTTTCATAGTATAATTTTTTTTTTAAATTTAATTTGAAACGAGTGTCTGACAACAGCCATTGCCCTTTTCCAAACGAAACATCTTAATTTGATTGGTTAGTCATTTGTCTTAAATGTGTAATAATGACAATGTTTAAAACAATTTTTTTGCCCGGAAGCAAAACAGGGTTTCTTTCGGGTATCTCTCTGGGGGGGGGGGTCACTTTCCCCCTCTTTTACCAAAGAAGGATCATTTGGTTAGAGAACATGCCGTTAGATATCTTATTTTGGAGTACGTTAAAGCAAGCACGAAGAGTCAGTGTGTGCGGTAAGATGTGGTGTATTTAATCTTTAAAATATGTCCCTACAGGTGTTACGACACTAGAATGTGGATACTTATCATGTGGATACTTATTACCCTGTTGATCTACAACTGTACAGTCGAAGTTGGATTTTGCTATATGTGTTAAATTTCCAGTTATGCAATGGTGGGGGAGGGGAAATAGTTTAATCTGAATGTTCTTCTCTTCTCATATTCATGTATTTTATTTTTTGGTTAACTTACAGCCCTGTGGTAGTAATAAGTCTTCTTATTCAAGAAATTATTTTGATACGTTTTTAATACTTTTCCCTCGCAGTGCTATGTCATCAGCATATGAAAGATACTTAAGGGGTTGATTGTAGAGAGTGCCCATTGGTTGTGGGTCTTGGGTTTTCCTCAGAAAGTATCCTGCTTTTGTTCCTCGGTTGTCAATATGTATACTTCTTATACTTATAACTTGCTCTAATGCTAGGTTAAATAGCATACAGCAGTGCTACTCAAAGTGGTGGTCCGCGGACCGGTGCCGGTCCGCGAGCCTTACGTTACCGGTCCAGAGAGCATGAATATTGATGTTTAAATAGAAAGAAGATGTAATTAATAAATCTGGCACCGGTCCCTGGTGCAGTTTCGAAACTAGTCAACCGGTCCGTGAAACTTAAAAGTTTGGGAAACGCTGGCATACAAGACAGTGAGTCTCCTTGTCTATGGCCTCATCTTATCTGAAATTCCCTTGAATAATCTCCTTGAAACTTGATTTTGCTTTTTGAGTTGTTCAATATTATATGTATTAGTCTTGTCAGTTTGTTGGGTATGCCTAAATCCAGCAGAATCTCATACAGATATTTTCTTTTGGTGCTGTCATATGCCATTTCATATGCCACATAGAGTTGGTGTTTTGGGATTTTATATACATAACATTTCTCTAAATCTGATCAGTCGTTAGTTTGTTTTGCCTGAATCTACATTGGTAATCATCTAGTATTTCTTCAGTGTACGGTTTTAATAGTTTGGCAATTAGCTTCATCAGTATTTTGTATGAAACATTTAATGAGATTCCCTTGCAGTTTGTGCACTAAATTTGGAACTTTCTTGTATATTGAGGTTATTATCCTATTCTGTCGGAATTTTCTCTTTTTGCCAAATTTTAGTTATAAGTATTATGAATCTGAGTTTATAGTTCAAGTGTGACACAATTAGAATGAATTTAGTTTACGTCTCACTGGAGCCGAATTCAAGATGTCTTTGATCATTATTATGACTAATTTTGGCACTCCCCACCCGAAAGTTTGAAATGCAACATCAAAATTGTCTGAAAGAAACACAAATTCAAATATGCACCAAAATCTGCGCCCCCCCCCCCCCTTGCTATGACTCTGGTCAACTGGCACAGCCCCCCTCCCCCGAAAATTTTAAGTGCCCCCCAGGGAAAAATATCTGAAAGAAACACTGCAGCCAAATGGGCGAAGTGAAATGGCTCCATTCCCTGTGCGTTCAAAATAATTAATACTAATAAATAGTATTTTTTAGAGTTAGAAACGCGGGAATCTTTTGGAAGTTCAACTTTTTTTTTAGTTGTTGGCCCATTCAAAGTCTCTGACTGAGTGTAAAGAATTTCTTCCCTTTCCTTATATTTCGCCCTGTAAACTCAAATTATTCATTGTTAACAGGCAGCGGATATTGATGGGAATATTGTAGGAACTATTTCTAAATCAGTCAACTTATTACCCATTCCAGTCATTTAGTTTTTCATGCTTTTAAGAACGCTTTTCAAATGTTTTGCCATCTCTGGAGGGTTCAAATTAAGATCATGTGACAAGGAAACAATAAAACGTTAAAAGGGATATAACGTGCGTGACCGTGGCAGCGGGGTTTGGGGAAGAGGGGGGGGGGGGTTTCGAAAAAATGGTTTAATATCCTTCTGTATATCATTTTGTTATAAATTATAATTAATATTTTGTGACCCATGACAAGCTTTTTAAAAATTTTCCATTCGCAATAAGCATATCTTAAGATCAATGTACACTGAACAATCAAAATATCTCTCTGAGTGGTTACTTTCAGCTGCGATTTCACAGACGTTAAAACATTCTTTACCTGAGAGAAATCTCGCTCCAAATATGCATTTGTGCCCGGAACGCTGAATCAAAACTTATGGAGTATTTGCCAATTTACAGAATGTACATCATTTACTTTGAAATTGTGAAATATTTGAACCCATTTTTATAAAAAAACTGTACAATTTTGGCGTAAACAAGCAAGTCATTAACTTATTCTACAGTACAACAATTTGAAGCCTGCTTAATTTCAGTATTACCCGCTGGTGTGGGAATTCAACGTCTGATATTAAACACCGCATAAACCGACTAATCAAGAAAGCTAGAAACATAACACAAATTTAGCATCCTTCACTTGAAGAACTATTTGAAGAGAGATGTTTTTGCAAAACTAAACACAATTTGGATGATACATCCCACCCTCTTCATCCTAGATACTTAAGATCAGGCCGTTCGGGACAAATTCTTTCCATCAGGGCGAGGACTGACCGATTTAAAAATTCTTTTGTTCACCAATCTGTACGAATTTACCGGTGTGCTTCTCATCTGAATGAGAACTAATAAGTCCCCGATTTTCCTAAGAGAACTGACTGAATGACTGTTTGAAATAATTTATTATAAATGTCTTGTGTTCAAATTGTTTTTTGCTGAAAATGTATAATGCAATCAAAAAAAATTTCCATTTATTTGGATCAATAAAAGAATCTTAGCTTAGCTTATCTTATCTTAAAGCACAGAAATGTTTTACGCGTTCCAATCTTCCAGCTTATCTGATGACAAAAAATGATTCACATAGGTCAACTCATCGCTATCAAAAATATTTCTTGTGAAGAAACAAAGAACCAACCATAGTCACAATGATAAAAAAGGGCAGAATACACTGGGCAGGTCATGTTGAAAGGATGCCGGAATGCAGAACAGCCAAAATTATATACAGGCAGAAGCCTAGGGGTAGACGTCACACCGGTCGCCCAAGGATGAGGTGGATTGATGATGCAGAGACAGATTTACACCAGTTGGGGGTTCGAGCATGGAGACGGAAAGCCATGGATCGCTCCGAATGGAAGGATGTGTTGGAGCAGGCCAGGGCCCTACATGGGCTGTAGTGCCACTGATGATGATGATGAAGATTTCATTTACATAAGTGACACTTCTTTCTACGTTGTCCAAGGAAGTGAAAACTTTCAAAGTCAGCCAAGAAAATATGTCAACATATTCAAAGTGAACAGGCCAACGCCGTAGATATATTATGTTATGTTATATTATTTTTAGGCATTTTAAAGCTTCAAAAGTGATTTCATTGTTGAAACGACTTTATTTCGAGGTACTTGATTCAACATGGAGTAACATTTTTCTTTTCTCATGACACCTAAGCCCTTCCCAGAACTCCACGTCACCTGCGATCTCCTTCGTTGGAGGTACCTCCTCCGGGTGCTATATGAGGTCGGTGCAACCAGCTGTCTTCACCTCGCAAAGCATTAGACCTCTTTGAAAACTGGTACCACTGTGTAATCAAATGCTTCGGTCACTCTTACGGTCGCCTCATTCTGTGCGTCATTGACACCGCCGTATTTGCCAATGTTAGATGTATTACAGTGAGGTAGTAGCTTTCGTTGCGCCTCCCCCCCCCCCCCGCCCGGGAAAAACGGCAGGTTTTGCTCCACCTCGTGGACAACATCTGAACACGAAGGTCTTTTTAACCTCGTCCGCTTCGTCAAGGGTTCTTGTAATTGGAAGCAGGGTTCGGGTGTATTTAACCCCACGTTTCGTTCTATCGTGGCTAGTATTGCTTTGTTTCTGCTGATATTGAATAGTTCTATGCTACGACTGACATAATTGCTACAGCGGCCGTGGGTGTGGTGCACTAGTTCCACATACAAAATGGAGAGAAAGGCTATATGTGTGGTCTACTACCCCTTCTAGAGCAATGAGCATTGCAAAGGGCTTTTCTGGAATGGCTGTAGTCAATGGTAACTCATACAGTTTGTATGCGTATATGTGTGTCTTTTTATTGTCTGTCTTAGTATGTGTCCCTCTATTTGTGTGTGTCTGTATGCGTGACTGTGTGTGTCTCTCTATCTGCTTATGTTTGGTTTTTTTAATATACATATGTGCGTGTGTGTGTGTTTGCCCTATTTTCCTCCTTCGAAATATGTATCATACGTTTTTGGGTTAGGCCGTTAAAACAGTCTAGCACCTTCACGATAGGAAAATTTATGTTTATTTTTAGCTGTGACACGAACAAATGTATCTAAATATAACCATGCTCATTTTTTTAGTCGGTGGGCAGTCAGGTTCATAAGGTGTATGATACGTGAATTACATAAATGAAGGCAAGTGTTTAAATAACACTCTGCAATTTGGTATTATTTCAAACTAAATAAAATATAGGCTAACCTGTAACCATGTAAACTTTTTATCTCATTACATAAATATTTTTTTTTAACTTGTGCCGTTACATTTACCAAATTCCAGTGACTGTAGTAAGAATTTAAAAATCAAGCTCTAATTAATTTTTAATGAGTTATCAACTTTTTGAGCCATAGTTAATTATACAAACAGTTTTAAATAAAATGATGGCTGAGAAGTATGTAACTATATTTCAAAAGTAATAATATTAATTAATAATATGTTTTTATTGCAACAAATGTAATCCAAACAAAGTTACCTTGAAGTCTCTCAAAAGTGTTTCCAGGAAAAGTAAGCTTGTGTGACTTGTATCTAGTGAATGACAATCTCTTATATAGTAGAGACGTTAAACTAAACTAAACCATAATATTGACCTCGTCATGGCGACTACCAATACACTCACAGGACAGGCAGAAACATGCGCATCAACACTTCGTAATACCTGGGTATTGATTTACAATTCACATCTCAAGTGTGGTGGTGCTGTCTTGTTTGCTGCAGTCATGGTTGGTGGTGTCGTGTATAGTGCTGTCACGGTGTGGTGCTGTCATGTGTGGTGCAGTCATTTTCTTTGCTGTCATGTTTGGTGCTGTCATGCATGGTGATGTCGTATATTGTATTTTTATGTGTTTGAAAAAGAGGGGGGGTGGGTTCTGTGTCACATTGAAAATGATTTTTAAAATCTATCTAAATATGCCCATCGTTGGTCTCGAGACATGCGCACTGCGGTGAAGCTACCGCCCCCCCCTCCTGCCCCACCCCCGCTTGCCAGCCAAGCTTGCGGCGTATGCTAAGCCGCGGGTCGCGTATCATGAAAAAAAAAGGGGGGGGGGGAAGGGTGTAGCAAAATTGGCATTCTTAAATGTGAGTAACTTGAGATCACGTTTTTGCCAAGTAACTTTAGTGGATGGGAAGTTCACGCATTGCTGTCGCCAATGTTTGGTGGGCTACATCTAGTATTCCTTAATACAATAACCTGCAACAGATACACAACAGCCAGACCAGGTTTCGCTGCACATGCTGTGAACATGCAAGTTTCACTCCACTAATGAAGGAAAATATTTTTTTTTTACCGTTAACTGACATGGTTAATTTTTTTTCATCAGCTTTATTTGAAGAAACATACTTTTGTATTAAGATCATTTATTACCACCGCTTTTATAATACAGTTCTAATATAATTATGATTTGAATTGTCTTCACCTACCCATTCCCTGCTCTGTCCTCTCCTCCTCACCGATATCATGTGTACTCATTTTCTAAAGCGTTTCCAATATATTGCTCCTCATTTACACATTCAGTTTGATAGCATTCCAAATGGTCAATCCTTTTTTTTTAAAAATAATTATCTGACTTTTAACATTATTATGAGAACCTTTGCATCGCTACGGATATCATTGAAAGGGTTTGAGAAAAAAATATGAAATTTCAGCTACCACATGATTCAGTTAGAGTTGTATAACAACCCAAAACTGGTTTAGAGTAGTTTCAAAGTGCAGTACAAATGATTATGTAATATTCTAACAGGAAGTGTCTCGAATGTTCTCATCATGTTCAGGCCTGCAATCGGATGGATACGCTCGATTGATTGGATCGATCAGGTGACCTAGATCAGGATTATGTACAAACCTGATTCGCAGCAATGAAATGTCTTGTCAAGGTTCCACTACTGGTTCCTATTGTGTCACCTTCCAAGTAAACAAACATTGATTTCAACAGAGTGGTACTGTAATATCTTGTTGTATACTGTAAAACTGCTATTTAATCAAAGAATAGAAAATATTTAATGTCTACTCCGGATGACTTTGTTTAAAATATTAAGATCAACTCTTGTATTATTTGAATTCATTATTTGCTCTTTTATTTCCATTAGTGGTGACCGTCCTTGGTTCTCATCCATTAAAATAATTAAGACAAATGAGCTTGTAAGACTAACTCTTTATGTTTAAAGAAATCTGTCAAAACATACGTGTTTAAAGGAATATGTCAAAACCTATGTGCATATATATATATATATATATATATATATATGGGGCTAATTTCTATTTCATTAATGTAATTAATTAATTATTATTCTTTGCTAAATGTCCCGTCAAAATAAAGCGATAATAATGCGATCCATTGAGAGGAAATCACCCCAGTAAGTAACTTTCTAAGTAGGAGACATTACACTGATAATTTTTTGAACAGTGGTTCTCATCCTGTGGGTATTGACCGCTTTGGGGTCGAACGACCCTTACAAAAGGGTCGCCTAAGACCATCGAAAAACAAAATATTTATTAAGTAGCAACGAAAATAGTTTTATTGTTAGAGGTCACGACAACATGAGGAACTGTATTAATGGGTCGTGGCATTAAGAATGTTGAGAACTACTACATTAGAATAGTGCAAAGCTGTCGTTGGTAATAAAGAACATTGAGAACTTTGATTAGACAAACATTGCAACTCAACATTCAATAAACCAATCCCTCCTTTATTATGTTAAACATCTGTGGCGTTATGTTCAAAGGGTTAGGTGTGTGTATGAGGTGGTAGGGAAGGATCGACATTCACATGTTGATCTATGTTATATGCGACACACGTATTGTTCTTTAGGAAAATTGTGTGTATTTTCAAAATTATAACTATAAAAAAACAAGATTTTTTTTTAAAGGGAGAACACTCTAAATATTTGGCTGCTATTTACCAAAAAATGTGAATGCGAGATTTTTTCTCTTTTTGACGTTAAGCTGTTTTATATCGGGGGGGGGGGGGTATAAATATTACGTACGCAAAAAGGTAAAAATTATCCCACCCTCACCCTTGATGCATCCGATCTCTTTAGGCGCCCCCTGATGAGTACATACAATGAGCTGTCTGCCCTCCTCACCCCAACTTCCCACAAAAACAATTATTCATCAACCATTAAGACGTGAAATACAACTAAATGAAGTCAAGTCAACGTAGTCCAGTGTTTCCTAACTTCTGGCGTACACACCCCTCACCCCCACAGGGAGACAATTTGTAGATTATCAGAGGACAGATAATAGTTTATAAGAAGATGGTGCAAAAAGATGACACCCCCCACAAACACTTTTTATATTATATTATATTATATTATATTATTACTACTATTATATGTCCTCTGATAATCTACAAATTGTCTCCCTGTGGGGGTGGGGGGGTGGAGAAGTGGTCCGCTTTGAGCAGCACTTAAGCAGGAGCGACATTTTCGGCCAGCTTGTTCGTGACAGTGGGCTCCTAAAATATTTGACCCCCCCCCCCCCCCCCCCCGGGAGGAAGTGGAGGGGCAGTAACCTTACTATGTTAAAGCGCTAGGATATAAGAAACATATTCGTTTCAAAATATGGGTGGGCTGTGTGTAATGTTATAACAATTTTATCGTTACAGTTAGCCACTTGTATGTGTTTCATAGCTTGCCATTCAAATATCGTTCCCTGATTGTTGCTATTTTTATCCTTCAACTATGAACCTTAAGGCTTAAATGGAAACAAGACTGAAATTCAATTTTTTCCCCACGGTAGCATTAAGATCGCTTTATTTTCCATATCAACAATTGGTGGGGTGGGGACAGGGGCGTCATTTTAGTGTTTTTTTCAGGGGTTGGGAACAAAACCAAAACTTGGTCGGCTTGTTAAATTTTTTATCACTGGAGGCGCCAAAGTTCATAGCAATTTAAATAAAACCTTCAAATTCAGGGGGAAGGGGGCAAATGCCCAACCCTGACCTATCTAAATGACTCCCTGGGGGTGGCATTAAAACCTCTCAGTTGGGGCCCCGTAGGGTACTATTATCAGTTGGGGCCCCCTATGGTACTATAACAGCTTGGGGAACACTGCCGTCAGCCTCTTCAAATGTGTGCCAGCCCAACGGAATGATAACGTCAAAAATTACGTCACAAAAAGAAAGATGACCATAAATACCCCCCAAAAAAATTGTGGTGATTTCTTTTAAGTCTTTTAAAAATAAATTTCATGGATTTAGTGTCAGAATTTCAGCATAAATATTAAATGAACATACTTCCTCCCTATCTCCCCACCCCCTCCCCCTTTTACCCTAAGCACTAGTACGCATAATCTATTTTTAAAAATCAACCACCCCCTCCCACTCGTGCACTGTGTACGTAATAAATGGATAGACCCATAGCATACTTATTTTACATCTAGTGTCAATGGATAGACCCATACCATACTGATTTATACCTCGGAATAAACCCAACTGTGTGGCTTCGCAGTGGTGTAGTCTACTTGTAGCTAGTATTAATGCTTCCTTGGGCGAGACAAGTTTTTTGTCACCTGCAGGGGTCAGATTTCCCAAGGGGGGTTAGGGGCGTAAATACAGTAGAAATAACATCCAAATATTTACACGTTTCAGTGTTACCGGTATTTTGAAAAGTCCATATACAATGCTGTAGTAGTAGAGATTTGAATTAAAATATAGTTTGGTTCAAAGATTAAGATTGTATTAAGTGATTATGTTTCAAAGATAAACTATTATACATTAAATTAGAAATTATAAATAAACTTTTGGTGGGGGGGGGGGTACAGAATTATGTGCTTCGGTCTAGGGCGCAGAACTGGCTACACCCTACCCAAGACAAACACTGCAGACCTTGGATACAAAGGAGCAGGGTTTCATTAAGCTATATCTTGGGGGGGAAAAAATATGTCCAAAAGTAAATCCACTGGAACTGCTGAAGTGCCCCCCCCCCCCGAAAATCTAAAGTGCCCTCCCGAGGGAAAATTTCTGAGAGAAACACTGCAAGGGAGTACCTCCCATCAACACCCACCCCCACCCCTTTTTTTCCTACACCACTGACTTCGTAATCCCCCGGATTCAATCCAGACCGCCGACAGCTGTCCTATGTAATACAAAACTATAGAGCGTTCTTTTGACACCATTACGACTCAACTGTTCAATAAACCAATACTGTTAAGTCAGGAGTTCTTTACCTGTGATCTTTTATTATCTGCATTTAGAAACTTTATTTTAAGAGTGGGCCCATGGCCTTTATCTGGACTGTCAAAGGTTTCTATTGAAACTAGAGGCCGACCGAAAGTGATTTTCTGATTTCGGCCGAAGCCGAAAACAGGCCGAAAGTTTAAAATGACTTTCGGCCGAAACCGAAAAAAGGCCGAAAGTTTAAAAATGACTTTCGGCCGAAACCTAAAAAAGGCCGAAAGTTAAAAATGAATTTTGGCCGAAACCGAAGCCGAAACCGAAAATTAAATATTTAGATATTTTAAAATTCGTTCCCGCATACATTTTGCATACATCGAAAATGATGTGGGAAAGTATAAATATTTACATTATTTTTATAAAAATGAGATAATTGTGAATATTAATAAATAAACATCTAATATAGGGGTCTCAAACTCGCGGCCCGCGAGCCATTTGTGACCCGCAAGACGATATTTTGCGGCCCGCTACATGACAGAAAAGTTTAGTGTAAATGCGCCGGCCCGTTTCCCCCATTCTCATAGCTATAGCGTGACTCTCCGCGACGGTGTCAGTCGAATCTCACCGACTAGTCTAATTCTGTTTTTTTTTTTTTTGAATGTTTCTATATATTTTTTAATGCAACAGTGAGTAGGTGGATGAAAGTGAATCCTAGTTCTTGAGAACCCTTAATGATTTTATTGTTATTTATAAAGGTTGAGCAGATTGTAACAGTTGTAGTCGCTTTTTTGTGGATTACTTGATGAGGCCCACTCTCATTCAGACACTACCTCCTGCGCCGCCCCCTCCCCCCCCTGGTGATTTGAGTTTGAGACCCTTGATCTAATGAATACTTTGGATTTTACCATTTTAATATAAAAGTAACTTAAAATGCGTTACATTTTTTTTTAAATTAGTATGTTAGGAGAAAATTTGGCAAAAATTGAGGTGTGGGGGGGGGAATTAATGCAAAGTATTATTTTTTTAAGCCGGGTCTCTAAAAATTGTGGTTCTAAAATATCGTTTAATTTATTAAGATCGTTTAGTTGGTTGTTATTGATCGCTTAATTTGTTGTTTAAGAACGTCCAGTTTTTGTTAATGATCGCTTGATTTTTTCTTAAAGATCGGTTAGTTTGTTCATAAAGATCGCCTGGTTTGTTGTTAAAGATCACTTAGTTTGTTGTTGAAGATCACTTAGTTTTTCACAAAGATCGCTTAGTTTGTTCTTAAAGATAATTGATTTTGTTCCTTAAGATCGATTAGTTTGTCGTTAAATATCATTTAGTTTGTTCTCAAAGATCGCTTAATTTTTTCTTACATGTCGCTTATTTTGTTGTTAAATATCGCTTTCGCTGAGTATTAAATGACAGAAAACCAGAGTCACTTTCAGCCGGA